ATACATATATATAATATAGATAATATAAATATATGTATATATATATATATATATATATATATATTTATATATTATATATATAGTGCAGGCATTAATACGGGTATAAATATAAAAATGAGTTAAAATAAAATAAACGACAAATAAAAATAATAAAAAACAAAAAATTTATTTTTTTGTTTTATATTTTCTCGCTTTTGTGTTTGCTGCTGCTCTCCTGAAGATCTGCTTCATCAATAAACCCTAATTGCTTCCACTGCTGCAACCTGCAGCAGCAGCAGCAGCAGCAGCAACAGCAGCAGCAGCAGCAGGGGAGCTTGTGCTGCAGATGCCTCCGTCAGAACTGCAGCTTTTGCTGTTCCCAGCAGCAGCAGCAACAGCAGCAATAACAGCAGCAAGAGCTGCAGCAGCAGCTACAGCAGCAACGGCAAAAGAAATTGTAGCAATAGCAGCAGCAGCAACAGCCCCAGGAGCAGCAGCACCACCACCACCTACAGCAGCAGCAACAGCAGCAGCAGCAGCACCCCGAACAACAACAGCAGCAGCAGCAGCACCTCCAACAGCAGCAGCAGCAGCAGCACCCCCAACAGCAGCAGCAGCACCACAACCACCACCAGCACCTCTAACACCAGCAGCAGCAGCAGCAGCAGCAGCACTCCCAGCAGTAGCAGCAGCAGCAGCAGCAGCAGCACTCCCAGCAGTAGCAGCAGCAGCAGCAGCAGCAACAGAGTTGATGTACGTGGTAGCCCCTAGCTCTTTAATAAGTTTATCTTCTAATGTCTCTTCTGTTTGTTTGCTCGTCAAATATACTTCCGGGTGTAATATTTGTTTTAAAGGATGAACGCCTTTATCAAACCACAAATAAACAAAACCCCCCGAAGATAAAGCAATTAAACTCATCTGCAGTGTCTGCGCAGCTCAAACAGCAACAGCAACAGCAGCAGCAGCAGCAGCAGCAAATCATGCAGCAGCAGATAATTATCCAGCAGCACATAATCATGCAGCAGCAGATAATCATGCAGCAGCAGCAAATAATGCAGCAGAAGCAAATGGTGAAGCAGAAGATGAAGCAATAAGTGCAGCAGCAGCAGCAGCAGCAAATGAAGCAGCAGCAAATGCAGCAAAAGATGCAACAGCAAATGCAGGAGCAAATGATGCAGCAGCAAGAGCAACTGCAGCAGCAGCAGCAGCAGCAGCAATAACAACATATCAGTTTTAATCCCCTCAGCAAAACAAAATGTAATTATAAATATTTGCTGTGGCTGTCTCTTTGTTTACAAACTCCTTATTAGAACTGGTGCTGCTGCTATAAGTGTTGTTGCTGCTGCTGCTGCTGCTGCTAGAAATGCTGCTGCTGTTGCTACAAGTGCCGCTGCTGCTGTTACTGCTGCTGGTACAGCTTCTGCTGCTGCTTCTACTGTTGCTGCTACTGCTGCTGCTGCATCTGGTTTGATGTTGCTGCATCTGTGCTTGCTGTTGCTGCTGCCGCCTCCTCTTCTTCTTCTTCTTTCGGTGATGCTGCATGTGTCTTCGTTGCTGCTGCTGCATCTACTGTTGCTGCTGCTGCTGCTCAATCTGCTGCTGCTGCTGCTGCTGCTGCTGGATTAGCTGTTAAGGGTGGTTGCACGCGGGAGATTACAACACACAAAAGCAAACAAGCAAATAAATTAATTAATTAATTATAAATAATAAATAAATAATAAATAAATAAATAAATACAGACTTACGTTTGGCTGTCCCCTCTTCAATATAAAGACATGACGCAGCGCTGCTCGCAGCCTCTCCATCAGAATGAGGGTTTAGGGTTTAGGGTTTAGGGTTAGGGTTTAGGGTTTAGGGTTTAGTGCTTAGTGTTTAGAAGTCGTATACCTCGCAACAGACAGAGGTGAAGCTAACCCGAAGCCCTAAACCCTAAACCCTAAACCCTAAGCATCAGCAGGGGCTGTCTGGGGCCCCCACAACAAACCCCCTAAGTAAATTAAATTAAATTAAATTAAAATAAATTTAATTTAATTTAATTTACTTTATTTTAATTTAATTAAATAATTAAATTAAAATAAAGTACAGCCGTGTTATACTCTAAACCCTAAACCCTAAACCCTAAACCATAAACCCTACATACACATATTTGTTAGAGAGCAACACTCCTCGGCGTTGTGTGGGTTTGAAAAATAAGTGTTTAGGGTTTGCATTATTAGGGTTTAGGGTTTGCATTATTAGGGTTTAGGGTTTGCAGTGTTAGGGTTTAGGGTTTGAGTAGAAGGGTTTAGGGTTTGAGTAGGAGGGTTTAGAGATAGCAGTATTAGGGTTTAGGGTTTTGATGGTGTGGGGTTTCTACTGTCGAGTCTACGCTGCAAGGCGCGGAGGCCTCAAGCTCTAAACCCTAAACCCTAAACCCTAAACCCTACAACCCTACAACCCTAAAACCCTAAAACCCTAAAACCCTAAACCCTAAACCCTAAACCCTAAACCCTAGAGCGAATTCCAAAACCCTAAATCTTCA